AATTTCTAAATATCGTTTCAAAAATAATAATAAATACGTTTTTGATATATATTTTTTACGCTAAACGTTTCTCACTTACTGCATGTTTTTTTTTTTGTGTGGTTTTGTTGTAAAATATATATACATATAATATGTACTATTGTGTACATCATACATATAATAGATTATTATTCTAAAACAAATGTGTATCAATTTTTTCGTTTTATTTTTTCTTATTTTGCGCATAAATATAATTTAAATTAGATTTCTTCATTTTCGTACGTTTGTCTCTATTTATTTCGATCTTTGATCGAATGATTTATATATATATATATATAAATACGTACATATACCTAAAAAAAAAAATGCATTATATTACAAGGAAACTATAAAAATGCAAGATCGTCCAATAGGAGAGAATATCCTATAAAAAGTTAAAAAAAAACGAAAGACTTTTCCAAAAAAAACCCTAGAACAAAAATCAACTATTCACAGCCTGAAAAAATATAAAAAAAAAAGAATGAAAAAAATATAAAATAAAATACAAAAAATATGCAAGCTCCTGCACTGACCTATTTTCTTTGTGATTTCTCGTTGAAATGATCATCTTCTATATTCCGACATTATAAAACTCTAGGGAATTCTAAGTTCTCTCTCGTAGGTGTACATTCTTGTTGTTGTTGTAGTTGTTCTTGTTGATATTGTTGATGATGTTGTAGCTGTTGCTGATGTTGCTGTTAGCCGTGCTACTAACGCGATTGGCACCATTACTACTGCGATTGTTAGTAGCATTATTAGTACTTTTAGCAGTAAGGCAGGGGCCACATCGGATTGGCAAGGGACGAGCAGCAAGATAGTCAACTATCATCTGTCTTACAGTAGGCATGCAGGTTTTGTTGTACCCTGGAAAACACATATCACATGCTACATCAGAACCGAACCGGTACACCGGCTTTTATCACGTCATCGTATTTTTTTTTATCAATTCTTTTTTTGTTGTATATTTATATCAGTAATCATTATCATTTACTTATTTTGTTTTTTGTTTTTTTTTTGTTTCTATTTTTTATTTAATCGAGAAAAAGGGGTAAAATATGAAAATCATCATATAAAAGATCATATTTACGTTAATTATTATTTTTCTCTTGTCGTATATTTGATTTATGGATAAATATTTATAAAATTTCTCATACGATTTTTAAACGATTAATAATAATATCGACGATCTGTAAAGTTTACAATCGTTGCTTTTTTTTCATTTTTCTTCTAATACTTCTGTTTTTTTTCGTTTTTCTTTTGTTTTTTCTAATAAATTTTTCAATCATTTTTTTTTTCAACTTTAGCGATTGCGTGATAAGAGCCGTCGTTCATCGAACACGTATAAGGAACATGTGATCGGTCGGAAGAGATTTTTGGAGTAAACACATACATAAAATACTTGGAAATGGTATGAGAAGAGAAAGAGATAGATAGAAAGAGAAAAGAAAGAGAAAGAGAGAGAAAGAGAGAGAAAGAGAGAAAGAGAAGAAAGCGCTCATTCAAAAACGAAAAAAGGGATAGTACAATAAATGAAAAAAAAAATAAATAAATATTAATAAAACAAATGTGTTTAAATAATAATTATTATTATTATAAATAATAATAATAATAAAAATAAATAATAATAATAATAACAATAATTAGCCTACGATCAAGTCATTCGCTCCTATTAAAAGCGTACGAACTCATATAACTCGTATAACTCGTATAACTCGTATAACTCGTATAATAACTCATATATGTAATATGTATATGTATTATATACATACATACATATTAACCGTTTGGCTGCTGAGGAACATATGATTTTTAATTTATTGTAATAATTTTACATATTTTAAAGTGTTTTCCTTTTTTTTCCATACACGCGCAATTAATGCCGCTGTTTTGGCATATATCCGGAAAAATAACATACGTTAGCAGCCAAACGGTTAATTAATAAATACGTACGTATTTCGCATGTTTCTAAAAAGATATCGCTATCTACGTTAACTAGAAATACGTGGAAAGAAAGATGTGCGTGATGAATAGGGAAGAAAATACGAGAAAAATCGAACCAATGTGACTTTTTTTTATCCCGTAAATTTTTTAACTAGTGTTATTGAAGAAGGAAAAGGAGTGCCGATCAGGTGGTGGGTGGAAGCGGAAATCATATAAGAGAGAGAGAAAGAGAGAGAGAGAGAGAGAGAGAGAGAGAGAGGTATTTCCAAAAAATTGAATAATTCTATAAAGTACATGTTCTTTTGAGCTTCGAAAATCTATTCGATTCGAAGTTGACAACATACACAACAACAATGTTTGTTCATTGGTTTGCAATTATTTTCCTTTTTCCCTTTTTTTGGTACGAAATAATATAAAAAGAAAAAAAACAAAACAAAATTTAAATAAAAAATTATTAAAGAAAATTAAATGAAAACTAAAGTGTCAAATTCGAATCGAAACAATCTTAAGATCGATTAAAAACCAAAGAAAATAAAATAATAATACGTAACAACGTTGTCTGCAAGCTGACATGAGCTGAGAGTCATCGATTGAAGATGTTGTTATTGATCGTTTATAATTCCAATTGCATCTAAAAATGACTAGGAGAGAGTATAAATGAATATTTAATTATAAGCTTATAAAAATGATATTAAGAAAAAAAAAAAGGGAATCGACAAATTGAATTGATTACTTCAATTTGGACAAAAAACGTTCTTAGATACAAATGGAAATAGATTCGCCAAAAATAGGAAAGTCTTTCGAAGCAAGATCGATAACACAAGCAAAACGCATAACATCGTGCAAATTGAATGAAAAAATACACTAACATCGGCCAAAAGTTTAGAATCACTTGCTGAGTTTTTTTAAATTTTATTTCGTTATTATAGTTAAAACTACTAATATCGTTATTACGTATCAATTATTAAATAAGTGAAATTATTTTTCTTTTTTCAAAGATTTCACAGCATTTTCTTACCTTCGTAATTTTCTTTCATAGTTACATACATTCATTTTAAGATAACGCTCTGAATGGAACATTCTTATTGAAACATTTTTGACTATTTTTTTTACAAAAAAAAAAACCCTTGAAAAAAATATTCAATATAAAAATACAATGTGATTTTTTGTTTGTTCGAATGTAAGATCAATTTGAAGAAAAATAATTATTGCTATTCGCGATACAAAAATATATATGCAATGGAAAAATTGTTCAACATATTGCTTGTACATGCGTTAATATTTTTTTCAACAATTAAATAGATCTCAATTACTCTGAAGGTATTCTGCTTCTTTTTCTCCCTTTTTCTTATATATAAAAAATATCCTTTTTCTCTCGGAAAATACAATTAATGATTCCAAACTTTTTGCCGGTAGTGTAAACAGATAACATAGGATATTGGCGAAAGATAATCTAAAGATTATCTGCGACAAAAACGAGGAACTACGAAAAGGGCTGACTAATAGTAAGTTAAAGAGTAAGTTTCCGTTTACCAACATGTTATATAAGGGGTCTTTCATTTAACTAAACCACCATAAATATATATATCTAGCTTATTTCATACGATAGAAAAAAAAAAATTAACAGAGGGAAAAAATTTATCTGTTCGAAGGCGCCAATACGATGATGAGACAAACTTTTTTCAAGATTCTAATTGTATTCTATATTTTAATACGATATTTCATCGTATCTTTTTTTAAATGAGACACTGCATATTTATATTAAAATATTCTTATAGCTTATAAAAAAACGAATCCAACGATGTGTAACATGTTGACCTATAACTTTTAACGAGAAAATAAGAAAATTTTTGTTTTTTTCTAGATGAGACAATTTTTGGCTGGTATGAATGTCTTACACGTTGAATTGCATTTGCACTGCATTTAACTTCCTCCAAAGCCTTACCGATGTTACTGATAAACGTTTCACAATTTTCTCGGAAATAATCATTTGGAGGGTTGAAAACATGTTGTATTTCCTTAAATTAGTTTTCTTATAAGCTGTCACAATATTTTAATATAAATATGCAGTCTCATTAAAAAAAAATACGATAACCTTAAAATTTTGACAAAAAATTCGACTTATAACAATATTGGAGCCTTCGAACAGAACATTTTTTTCATCTGACATTTTTTTTTATAGTATGAAATAAATGAGATATTTAAGGTGGTCTAATTACGTGAAAGACCCTGTATATATCTCGCCGTATATATATACATATATATATATATAAATATTAGGGTGGGTCAAAAAAATGACTTTTCTTTTTTTTCAAGTGCCACGGAAAAATGGGTTGCTAGACACCTTAAAACAATTCTCACCAAATATGAGCTCTTAATTTTAATAGGAAGATCCTCTGCGTCGCATCAGAGACAAAAATCACACATGAAAGTTTGATGATGAATATCTTTTGAACGCTTAATTTAATCGCCAAAACATAAGACACCATTTTTATAGAGCAGTTAATTTCCTACAAAAATTTGTATTGTGCACTTTTTAATAGTCATTTATTGTCGAGTTATAAAATTCWTAAGCAAAAATGAAATTTGTCTAAAAATCATCAAATTTAAATCTTCAATATCATTCAAATGGTGAGATTTACGGAAAAAATATAAGATTCCTTTTTTGTAGAGCATTAAATTTCCTACAAAATTCGTCTAGAACATTTTTCTGTACAATCAATAAATAATGAGGTATGAATTTTAATCTATTGAACTGAAAAAAAATAAAAAACTGCGATGCGGAGGATCTTCCTATTAAAATTAAGAGCTCATATTTGGTGAGAATTGTTTTAAGGTGTCTAGCAACCCATTTTTCCGTGGCACTTGAAAAAAAAAAAAAAGTCATTTTTTTGACCCACACTAATATATATATATATATATAATGTTATATGTAAATAAGTATGCATATATAGATATATATTATATTTTCTTTTCTTCTTCTTCTTCTTTTTTATCTTTCACAAAGATCATTTCGAATGAACAAACCAAAAAACGAATAATAATATTAAAGCTCGAAGATTGGCACACGTATTTGCATAACATTTTTAAAATCGGAAGAACTTCGTGTTTAAAAAGTTATTATTATTTGTTTTAAATAGTCGTTAACTGTAATAAAGATACTTTATCGCCTTTCTTTGCTTTTTCTTTCTTTTTTATCGTAAATATATATTATAATATTCGATAATATCGATTTAACAAACGTCTTTTTATCGGTCGATGTATTCCGTAAAGACTAATTTATATGTATATGCATATATATATATTTTTTTCTCCGCTTAAATATACTAATATATATATATAATTGAGACTATATTTATTTCTCGTCGTATTGACACGCGTTTCTAGGATTGTCTTGGCAACTTGCCGTATCTCTTGAAATCACATCAAACGTTTCTTAAATGGAACTGCGACAATAATTATCATTTCCTTTTTTTCCTCATATCTCTCTCAACGTCGATATAAATTATCGTGATTTTGGCACACGATCGTTATGATCGATCGAAATTGGAATAAATTGGCGCTTATATCTATCAATGTAAGTAACGAGATTCACGTTGGCGTCACGTGAGGAAGAGAGCCGCGCGTCCTATGTTTTAGATATAACAGTAATAATAATAATAATCATAATATAATATAATGATAATAATAATATTAATAATAATACTAATAATTATTATACTTATCTATAATGTCTATATCGATTTGATTATTTCCTTTTATTGAAAATAATAATTAAATTCAAGCCTATACTCTTATGTTTCGCATTCTTGTTTTTTTTCTTTCGTACAAGTTTAATCGTACGATTATTTTTGTAAAGCTTTAATAAACAAGAAGCGTACGTGTTATTCCTTAAAATTCGTTAAATATCTGTCACTCGCATGTATACATAGATACATATATACATACATACAGTCAATAAATAAAATCTTTATATTCGAACAATTTCTCGCTTGTACGGAAGAAAGACAAAGGTGTGTTGTATATATATATATGTTTTTAGTGTTTGCGTGTACATATATATGTGTGATTCTACGCATATACATACATACACATCCTACTTTATCACAAAAGCCGAAGATTAACGAGAACCAAGGGAAAAGGAGCCCACCACAATGGGTAAACCAAAGAATCAAGTTCCTTTATAGTAACGTTAATTGCAACAAGTCGATCGATTACAAAGCCGTTTCCTTTTCGCTAATGATCTTGATACCGTGCTTGGTAAGTATCAGTTTAACAGTCTCGTTATCCCTGACCTTTGGCTTTTCGTTCCAATCGAATGCCCTATCATCGTTATCCTCTTGACCAAGACTCTCAGCTAACGAGTCCAAATTGTCCGTGGAAGAGTCCAAATATCTTACATTATCGGCTGATCTTTGAAGAGACTTGCACCTTCTCGAACTATTTCTCGAGGATCTAATGTTGTCCGCGGAACCGGTAGACTTCCCGGATTTCGATCTAAGACACTTGTCGTTTCGCGTCGCAAAAACCTTGGCTAGTTGAAGATTATCCGCCGATGAATAACGTCGTTTGTCCTGCGAACCAACGATTTGATGATCTTCCGGTTTCTTTTTTAACAATGATCCTTTACGAGTGATCTTTCTCGTGCCGCTAGATAGTATCGCAAGTTCGTCCTTCGGTACGAAATATTTGTCTTTAGTTTTTAATGATGAACCACGAGAATATATAGATTTGGACGTTAGTTTTTCGTTTTCTTTAAGCTCGTTCTCGCTTTGTTGTAATCCTTGATCGTCCATCGATTCGGTACCGCTCATCAAACCGCAATTTTCAATTTCGAAACTATCGTCTTCTAACGAAACGTCCGTCACCGTGGTATTGTCTAAGATTTTATATTCTTCCTCCTGTAAAATTCGTTTATCTTGATAACCCTTTACTAATCGTGGAATTACCATCGGTTCTTTTTCAAATTCAATATTATCCCCTACCTCGCCATATATTTCACAAATTTCGCATAAAGACTCTTCGTTGTTTGTCGTTGATAAAATTGTACGATCCAATACTTCGTTGGAACTTTGAAGATTCAAGGAACTACATATATCGCATTCGGTTGAGTCCTCCAATGAGCTACAATTAGAACGTAAAGTATAAAAGATCTCTTGATTCGGACTACTTATCTCTTCTTCCGTTTTCATAGTAAGTTCGTTCATGTAATAACATATTGAACAAAATTCCTCTGAAGTTTGAGGATCGAATTCTTCGGCTGTTACTAATGTTTGAGATGTACTGCTCTCCGTTCTCGATGGTTCGCCTAAGTAAACCTCTTGAACCTTTTTTATCGACTCGTAACTCTTTGATTTCTTCGAAAACGTGTCTTTCGAAGTTTTGCTTGTTTTTTTTCTCAACGTAGTCTTGGATTCGTTAGCTTTGATCATCGAATCCAAGCTACCTTTTAAAACTGTATCGTATTGTTGCGATTGGTTCATCGTTGTTTCTTGACTCCTCGTGTCGCTAATTCCTCTTCTAGAATTAGTTAATTTCAATGATCTCGCTCTTCCTGGTTTTTCTTCAATCACAGTATCATTAATATGATCTTGATGGTTAGGTGAAATGCATTCGAATTGACGCAGTTGACTGTCTTTTACTTTTCTTGGACTTTTTCGAGAATTCACTACTGATTTCAAATACTTACCATCTATTTCGAGATTCGAATCACGTTTAGACGAACGTTTAGATGGCTGAATCTTTTCTTCGATTTTGTTATCTTCAACAACTTTCTTATCATTTTTCTCTTTTGCTTCACAACTTTCTACATTTTTGATAATTGGATTTTCTATTACAGAGACAGCTTCAATCGTACTAGCAGCTGGACTCAACTCAACGCTGTGAACAACGTTATCTTCATCGCGATCTTTTTTCGAATCTATGGCAGTGTCTAAAGAAGTTTCATCAATATATTTTTCGGTACTGGACTCTTCCAATAAACTATTATTTCTTCGATCATATTCTATATCATTCGAGGTATTTTCTATAATGGTTGATCGTGTATCTTGAATCTCTCTTTTTACGCTCTGATTGGTAGCAACCTCTTCGTTATCTTTATCAGTGTCTATTAATTTATTATAAGTTTGATCATCATCTGTGGAAAGTGTAAAATCAGAAAGTGCACACTCGAATCGTGGATCTATTTTAGACTTTATTACATTCTCTTCCACGGACAATAAACGAACATTCTTATCTTTCCTGACATCTTCAGATTTTAATTTAACATCATCTACTTTTTCTTTATCAGTTTCGATTATTTGCGTTCTGTCTATAGTATCGCTAAGTCCTACATTCTCGACTGAACCTACATTAACCGAGACATTCTCGAATTTATCAACTTTCGAGGATGTCTCATCTAATTTGCTAGGATCCCTTGCAACCCTACTGTCTTCGTTAACTAAACCTACCTCGTCGAGTAACTGCGATTCACCGCTTTCGGTGGCAATGATTTGTTTTGCTTGACCTGGATACGCGGCCTTCGTGCTAGTTGTTACGTGCTTGGCATTACCATTTTCAGCGGTGATCGCATTAATAAATTTCTCGCGAGCCTCTTCGAGACCCATAGGTTGCCTAGAAGCGACGAAGGCCGCGCTCGTTGCGTTCTGCAAGTTCTTACGCAGAACGGTATCGGGAACGTCGATGCTTATAATTTCAACTGGACTCGGGGATTCCATGGTAACGTCGCTAGGCGACGGCGATAGGAAGGTGCTTTGGTACTTGGGATCAATGGTCAAGTAATCGTTCGCATTGGGCGAGGTCAGGTCCAACTTACTTCATTGTCCAAGAGGATTGGCAGCGTGAAAAACAAGACACCGTATTGTTTTCGTTACAATGTTACTAATTATATCGTTCAATCTGCTTTCTACGGATATCCGCTTCACTGATCGTATTATACAAACAGTTATCGGATCTTTTTTTCTCTTTTTTTTCTTTTTTTTTCAAAGAAAACTTGCAACATCAAGTTTCCATTGACAGTCAGTTAAACGGATATATTTTTTGAAACTATGTGCTGATGTAATATATATGTGAAGACTATATAAAATATAATGTAAATAAAATTTATTTATGATTGTAGCATATGTCGTAAAATTTTTTAAAAATCTAATCTTATTTATACATTGATAAATCATCATGAAAAAGTAAATTAATAGATAATTTTTTAAATCTATGACGATGTGTATTGGCCATATTTCACATATTATCTGTGCATTATTACAAACTGCTTAATATTAGCAAATCTGTACATTTTTCTAACTCACCGATTATACCGATGATTAATATTTGCTATAAAAATACAGATTTTCTATACAAAATATGTAAAAATAAATTTACGTTTATCATTCTTCGTAAATAATTCATATGTGTGATAAATACATATATATATTTATCTATCTTTAACAATTTGTTTCTGTACAAGTTTACGAAATCCCATTTGGCACATAATAAAATTTGAAAAATCTTTAAAATTCAACTAAGCTATCTATCGATTTATGGCTGAAATGATTGTTTCTATAGAATATCTATCTAAAGCTATTGTGTTGAGAAAATCTATTGTTAAATGAATTATTAATTAGGGTGCGTCTCTATTAAGTAACATTTGTAACTAAATTACATTAAACTCACATTGTCGTTGTAGAAGACTTAGCGCCATAGATTTCATTTTTGTAGACATAATCAATGACAGAATCCTGAATAAGATACCTTACGCTTTCACCTCTTTTCAATGCTCTTCTTATTTTAGTAGAACTAACTTCATTTGGAATCCATTCTGTTACGATATGAATATTATGCTACAAATAGAAAATTAAGATTAGCTTTATCTCAAAATCCAAATTATGAAATACTTTATTATTTCTTACCATATGTCTTGAAAGAATATCCGAATCATATATAAACTTGTTAGGATTAGAGCCTTCTCTTGTGATGACAACGAGACCATGCTGACCAACTATCGCATCTATCTGTATAAGCAAAAATTAAATCGTATAAATACAAACATTCTTAAGTAAAATTCATATTTAATATAAAGAATTGAACTAACATCTTCCTCCATCCACAAATCGCACTTTCCAAAACTTTCTAAAAGATCTGCTCCACACAACAATTTTATTTGAATCGGTGTCTGATCTGGACTGTTTTTAATATTCTCTGGTATCCATTCCAAATCTTCTTTTGGTATATTATTTCTAATATCATTGGTATCAAATAAAATTAAATTTAATAAATTTTGATGATGCTGAAGAGAAATTTTAGTTCTTGTCCAGCCGCCCTGTCTTGTTTCCCAGGAACTAAGTCGAATCCAATCATTGTTCTGTAATGCTAAGCGTAGCATGGCACACCTATGCGTAACCGATGCAAGTTCTTTCTTTGCATATGCATCATGAACTGGAGATATAACTCCACCAACCACTACGTGATTACCCATCCGATGTAAATGATCTCTTGCTATTTCTACAAACAAAATATCACATAAAATATTTCATTAATATATTCAAAATAATAAAATCATAAATATGTAAGATAAATATATTAAAAGCAATCAAATGTTATTGAATAATCAAAATATTTATGAAGCATGACATGACACAAAATTACGAGTATAAATAAGTAACGTGACGGATCAATAATGAATTAATTAAAAATATTTGTAAAATGTCTAAGATACTGTGTTTTTTACTCTCCAATGAATGTATAAAATATTACGCAATAAGTTAATCATGTATCAAGGGAAAAGAAGAGATATTGATTTTAAACGATATAACTACGTACCAAACATTCGTAAATGCATATTGGTTGGAGGGTTATAACTTCCACAGGACATAAGAATAACACGCTTAGGTGACATTTTGTCTTTCTCTGTTAGACAGCATCTACTGACAACCGTCTTATCGTATCTTTTGGTCCTCCTTCTCGAAAAGTCTTGATTTTGAAACACTAAGTAGCACGCAATTTGTGTTATAAAAGTGTAATAGCAAGCATCGTAAAACCGGAGCAAACTCCGCACCGACTGACGTTTCAGCCATATTTGATATCGCGCTACCACCGAAGTCAAACGATCAATTTTTTCCAAAGTCAAGTCAAAACGTGCCATTCAAAAGGATCACGATATAATATCTCATTAAATAAAACGTCATTTATTATCTTGTATAAATCATATCTGTGATATAATTGAATCATTTTACTTCGATATCAAATAACCTTCAGTCTCTTGTTTAATCGAATGAACGTATCTCGATTTCCTCTCTTTGAATTTGCGTCAACAAGTTGTATCTTATATATTTACTTACTTTTTTCTTCTTTTCTTTCGGTCGATAATATCGGATTCTTCTATTTAATGGTAAATGAAATTAAAATTAAAGGCTAGAAAGATCCACTTTGTTTTCTTTTCGAATGATAAGAAAGATTTAACAAAAAAAAATCATAAATGCAGTAAAATTTATGCATTGGTTTCATTCAGTTATACTAATGCATCATTCAACTGTAAATTCAAATCTCAAACTTTTTCTTTTTTTCTTTATCATGAAAGTTTTCAATTTAAAAGTGCATGATTTAGAAGCAGATGCAACTAACTTCGTATACCTCTCGAAAAATACTACATATAGAACTTTTATTATATCGAACTGAGATCAATACTCTACTACGTATATTTTACCTTCAGATGGCGCCACTTTATTTTATTTGAGAAGAGTGCATTACTGAGAGCACACGAGTTATGACCCCGATTTATGCAACCTTTTAAAATACCTCTTACGCCAATATTACGTAAATGTAAAGTGCCTCTTCACCGGTGCCAGTTTCTAGTAAAGTAAGCTGGACTTTGATATACCGCCGAAGGATTTAGAGTAACAGCTTTATAGCGCGAGAATATATATATGTATACAGATAGATAGATATATAGACTACTATATATATACTACCGTTGTCGGCCATTTTTTTCTCTTCCTCTCTCTCTCTCTCTCTCGCTCTTCTTAACTCTCTTCTTTCTTCCTACGCATGGAAAAAAAACTATGCAAGGGTCACGGTGTGGTTTAATGATACATAAATTTNAAAATCACACAGGAGAACRGTGTTACTGTTATAATTACTACACATTACATCGAGGAAGCCAAACAAGCGAATAAAGTAAGTAAAAAGAAAAAYAAGTTTAAAAATATAAAATGTCTTTTCTTGTATAATMATCTTCTGGGATKATCTATTTCTTATGTTCTGAGATTTAARACTAATTGGATATTTTAATACATTCAATTTATTCTAGTTAGGTAAAATATATTACATCTAAATTTGTTCGCATAGTTATATGTGRAAAAAAAAATGAGAAAAAAAAATAAAAGAAAATAAAACCAATAACATAGGATATAGTTGCATTAATTATTATCCATATATAATCCAGAAAAAAATGATGAATMAATATTATTTATAAATTCTTTATAAACAACATTGAATCGCAATAAATAAGAAATATTAACGTAATTGCGTAAAAAACATGTTTTAACTTTTTTTTAAAAAAACTGCGTCTTTAAATGCGTATAAACTTAKTTGTCATTATTATTTACTCCTAAACTTTTTTTATTTATAAGTATAAAAAAAACATAGGAAGATAAAATCAATAAAAAAAGATAATAGCCTGTTTATATTGTTTTCAGATTGGTTTAATGAGATCCGGTAAATTATTAGTAGAATCTACTCCTGATGAATTGAYGGATCGTTTACAGTGTGATAATTTAGAGGAAGCTTTTCTTAAATTAARTATAGAACAAGAAGAGAATTTTAAGAGAAATGTGATTAATAATTCTGAGATGTTGCAAGAAACAGAATTCATAGAAACTTTGGTTCAACATCCTACGAATTCAACGAGTATTCCAGTAAAACCGATGAAATATTCAGGTAAGTATATTTCTACAAGWATGAATTATGCATTTAAAGCCTCYAGTGATTAAATAATATTAATAGAAAGGTTATATAATTATTGAGATAAATGAATACTTTTTATTCTTTTTTTTTTTATAATAGAACATTAACAGGATGGTAATTTTATAATATTTCAAAACAATGATATGACAAATTAATCAAATRTTACAACTCGATGTAATATAGATAATTATATATACAAAGTGTTCGAATAATAAGACGTTCGAATACTATTTATTTTACTATTACAAAGATTGTCAAGTACCGGAAGTCATCCATTATACGTGGGTTTATCGACAAGTTTTGCTCACTTTTACGATTTTTTTTTTAAACAAAATCTTTTTTTTTATCGAGGTTCCAATATTTTTCAATCCCCTTCTCATATATGCAATATTTACGAAAAAAACGATTWAAAAAAAATATATTCTATTATTGTACCGAACGTTGATAATTTTTCTTGATTTTCATTTTCTTATATTAAAAATTGTTAAAAATTGTTATGAAAAAAAA